AAAAAAACCAAATCTTCAGTACCTCCAATAACCAAGTAATCCACGATAACATTGGTTCTCTGACCATCATATCCTGCACTATCTCTGATACACACTCTAAAGTAGCTGTTTGTGACTTCCTTTGAAGATAAGAAATATAAAATACATTGTAAATTAAGTCTCCATGATTTACTTCAGGTTTCGGTCTTTTTTTTTCTGCTTCCTTAATCAGTCCCTACAGATGATCTTTTTGGTCTTGTCGTTTGTCCCTTTTCCTTGCCATCCTCTTTCCATCGGCAGAACTGAACACCAATGCACAAACTCGCTAAAACTGGAGAAATAACTGAACAAAAATTATACACACGCATATGTTTCGCCTAATCTACCGCCAATTTACCACGTCTCTCTCATTTAAAAAGGAGTGCAATTTTCATGTAGCATGAGTGCCAATTTGAATAGCTTGTAAAAGTATGCTTTACCTCCAGCCAACTGCTCAAAGGACCTTTCACTGGACACGCTAAGTTAGCATTGTTACTACCACCATTAAGAACAGTTGTGAGAATCACAGGTGGTGAGTAAAATGGACTGGCGAAGCTGACATTCTGCAAGAAAAGTAAAAAGATACGAGTTGTCCAACCGGCATTTTTTCAGAACCGAAATCTAAATTTCAACTACCTTCATGCAGCAATGATAATAATAATAATGATAAAAGCATCAGTTTGGTAATCACTACTGCACTAAATTCATGAGAACTTTAAGCTTGAGAAGAAGATATCTCTACGCACCGCGAAGCATTCAAGGTATGCATACTAACCTTGCACAGAGCGTAGCTACTTTCTGCAGTTGGTAGCTCATTTTCAGAAAAGACAATGACCGATGACTCTTTAGCTTTCCATGCAGATGGGTACTGCTTATATGCCACCCAGTTCTGGTGATCAAAAACCCAGCAAAATATAATATGCAAGTCTGCTATGTTTACTTATTTATACCTTTGCTAAGACTGATAGTTTTAATTATTTCATTTACATCCTGTTATTTAATTCAACCTCCTGCTTTTTGTACGACAGATTGGTGAAGAAAAGATAATGCTTCTGACTTAAGTGTCATTGTCAGAGAAAACCGGGCAGTACCAAAATGATCGAGGTCGGCCGTTTACCTTCATCTTTTCACAGTATAAAAGCTCTCCAAAAAGATTAACAACCTGAACATTCGCAACTTTAGGCGTTCGTTTTTCTTCGAGATATCACCACATCATGATTTTGGCCTCTCAAGCGGTCTAAAATGGCCGACGTTTAGGACAACTTTAGGTGAGCCTAAAAGATACTTCGCACAAACGCCGGAAACTCTTATTTTCGTGCGATAATATTTGTCCCTTTGTTACACTGTAGTTGACTGAGATATATGTGAGGTCTTTCGCTTTAATTCTACGGTTTTCACGAGGTGCCAAATATAGCCGCCGAATCGTAAATGGGCGTGACCCATATGTTAGCCATCTTCAGCGAGTCGTTTTTCAAAAGTGCGGCAGTTTACTTCCACAGAAAAACATTATTGTAACAGTCTTTTGCAATGTTATTGAATTATTATCTACAGGCAAATCGGAGTAATTGGTCTCGCAAAGTCCAAAATAATTATTAGTTAGAAATATTTCCAGCCAAATGTTTAGCGAAGAATATCACCTTCTCCCGACTTTCTGCGGTTGCTATCCATGATTTACTGAAAGATCAGCAAAAGATAGTTAGCTGGACTTCAGAAGGGAATATTTAAGCTGTGGCATCTTTATTAGCCTATGTACCAAACACTTCAAACTCGCCAAATGCTTACCATTATCTAGGCTAAATTTTCCCGCGAAAATCCTATTTTAACGTCACGCTGCGTGGAAAAACAAAGTGGATACTCAGTTTGCTGGTCTTCTTTGCATTTGTGTCGAGCAAACTGCAAGTTAACAGTGAACGAAACTTTACCCTTAATTTAATTTTGGGACTTGTTTACATAGTTACACGCGTTACAGATTCAAAGGCAAAAAGACAGGACTTCGAAATGTCGATCTTACTTAAAGGTTCCTCCTTCGTTTTGAAAACATTAACTGTTCTTTCGGATCAGAAAAGTCGCCTAGCACTGCGGGTGGCAAGTCAGTTTTTCTTCACTTACTAGCGTGCAAACGAGATGGTCGAGGAAAGACGTCAGTGGTGGTGTCTGTTCGGCGCAGCAGAATGTAAACAACGAGGAAATACAGATTATGACAAAATCCGGCCCACGAAAGGATCATAAAGGACAGACGAGTGGTATAAACATCTTAATACGTGTAATCGTAACTACGTGAACTACGCATGGTTTGGAACAACAATCTAAAATTTTCTTGACGTTTCGCATGCTACAGCACGCATCTTCAGGAGTGGCGGTTGCTGTAGCATGCGAAACGTCAAGAAAATTTTAGATTGTTGTTCCAAACCATGCGTAGTTCATGTGTCATGTTTGTTGCCGCTGTTTGCATTTTATTTCTTGTTAAATTGAAATGGCCAAAGAACAAGAGTGTTTATGAGCCTAGATAATGTAATGATTGGGCAAGTTTGAAATGTTTGCGTAGGCTAATAACGATGCCGCAGCTTAAATATCCTCTTATGCAGTCCAGCTAGCTATTTTTTGTTGATCTTTCTGTAGATCATAGATAACAATCGCAGAAAGTCGTTAGAAGGTGATATTCTTCGCTAAACATTTGGCGAGAAATATTTCTGACTAATGACTTGGACTTTGCGAGACCAATTACTCCGATTTGCCTGTTGGTACCAATTTTAACTAAACTGGATATTGATAACATTGCAAAAGATTATTACATGTTTTTCTGTGGAAACAAACTGCCCCACTTGTAAAAAACGCCTACCTCCGCAAACGTCATGGTTGTTAATCTTTTTGGATAGCTTTTATACTGTGAAAAGATGAAGGTAAACG